ATGTGTGTGTGTGTATCTATATATATATGTGTGTGTGTGTATATATTTATATATGTGTGTGTGTATGTGTGTGTATGTATATATATATATGTGTGTGTGTGTGTGTGTTTATATAAATATATATGTACGTATATGAACTTTATATCTGTACTAGTTATTTATTTATTTCATCGGTATGTGCAGCAAGGGACTTTTATCGGGGGGGTCCGACCTCACTACGACACTTGGCATGTACTCGGACGATAGTGGCGGGAGTGATGACGATGGAAGCGATTCGATCAACGATGCAAAGCTGACCGAAGACATTGAAAGGAGTACAAGCACACAACATAGGAAGTCAACGTCAGACACGGGCGCGGGCTCGAGTTCGAGTAAAGCGGAACCCAGTGTTAAACCGAAGATCAACCCGGTTACGGGAAGGTGTGTGTTGGAACTTATTTTCGGGCGTGAATTTGTGAGAGTGGTGCAGTCTTTTTCTTTCCGATTTCTACGTTTAGTTACATTTGTACCTATTTTTTTTTTGTGCACATTGTCGTATCCCGTGTGCAACGCCCGCCTGCGAATCGCATGTACCTACGTTGCTACATTGTGGAATATCGGTTGGGAGAAGCCCATTTGATCTGATTCTTTATTCTGCCCTCACTTAAGCAAATTGTTCCACGCGAAACCAATGGAAACTCTGACTCATCGCTAAATCAGGTGACCACGTGTTGAGCTCTGGAGTTTTCTGGATCTCAATATCCCTCTTAGAGTTCGGTATACATAGTAACCAAATCGCAATACGTTATAATGATACTCACATATCAAATTTATACTCTCGACATCAGTTATTTCTCCACCAAACCCAACCCTATGGAAGGTCTGAGTGAGGAGGACAAGGAGCGAGAGGCTGAGAAGTTGATGACACTATTCAACCGATTAGAAAAGAATGGAGTGATGAAGGTGAGATTATTGGAGGAGGTCAAGCGTATTTATTTTCTTTATTTGGATTTGCAATAGATGCATATGGGCTCTTTTGTTCTACTCCTATTGCAAGACGGGCCTTACACAAAAAAAAAATTTCGTTCTCATCTTAAATATCACCCAGATCATAATACTATAAAGGAGTCTTCCGTGTTTAGTATAGAATGTGTGTATTATACTTTACTCATCACCTCCATATTCCACTGTACACGCATAGGTGATGGGCACTAACAAAGACGGAAAGCAAGTGGAAATTCCCCGCTCTCCTATGCCACCCAAAGACGGATAATGCTTACAATAATTACCACCTGAACATTACGGAAGTAACATCTGGGCAGTGTCTATCTGACATTAAAGTGTATGCAACGATTTTATTCTACTATTACCTTGTACAATACGGTGACATTGATGAGTGTCTATTTATGGGGTGCCCAGCGTGGGATGAAGCCGCGAATGTATTCAAATAATTACAGCGTTCCCCTTAGTAGTCGGTGACGCCTTTGAGCTTCTTTTTGATCAGCTGTCGTGTGTCAGTTTCAAGCGTTCGGAGTTCCTAGTGACGATTTCTATACAGTCAATGAACAGAGTCAACATCACTGTGGTGCGAGGCGTTTGTCGTAAAGGATGTGCTCGTTGTGCTGTAAGATTTACACGTTACAACTAATAAAGTATTAAAATCGTATAGAGGCGATGCTTTCTAGACAAAACTGTTTAATCTGCTGCATGGGACAATTTAAATAATTTATTGCTGAATAAACTGTACATAAATGAACCCACATGCTTGTATGCGACCATACCATACGGGTTGATCCAATGCATTAATCGGGTACCCTGGCAACTAGAAATGTCATGTATATATATACGACTATTGGTGGATTCCAATAATAGACCAGAGTTTCAATTGTAAACTTGAACTGGTTGGAGCGGTCGCAGGAGGATTGCAATCGACTAGATGGCGTATAACACATAAATAGCGACTTCAGAATTTATCACTGTCTCCTACGACTTGTCAATTCGAATTATGTTCGATACAGGGTTGAAAATAAAGCCAAATTATCAGTGATCAATCATTCTACTGGGTCAGAGGTAGCTAGCAGATAAAACGAGTATGTAACTCAATTATACATATATGCTTTGAAATAATGGCACTTTTTTTTGCAATTCATAAAAGACTGGTCCTGAAATGTGTCTCTTGATGTATAACATGGTACTTTAAATTTTAATCGGCGTGGGAACCCCTTTCGCACCTGTGTCTGCAATGTGACAAGTGTTTGTATTTGTGTCAGTCCATTTCATTTTTCTGTACATCCAAGCAATCATTTCACAAAGGAGGCTAGATATGTGCTATGTATGTATTGGTATTCTGTTCCTATTATTTAGATTGCTTGCTTTGTATACTTTTTAACGTAACCATTTGGAGACAGGGATTGTGAAATTATGTATCGCCTCCAGAGTGTCGTGATTCAATCCATACTTGAAACTCACCTTCAACAACATGCTTTTCTTTTTAACGCCAAAAAAGACTGGCCTACAGAATCATATATTGAAAAATTAAACAAACCATAATGCAGAACAGTGCAAGGTTTTACTTACAAAACCATTCCATTTCATTGGCGTTGTTGAAGCTATCATTATAAAATTCTCACTGGACGCTGGAAAGGGTGATTATATTTCTCGATACTTGTATATCTGACCTGGTATACGACAAAGACATATCTTCTTAGCAAACTAGTATATCATGACGTATATCGGACTTCTGACTGTAATAAAAGACGTGTCGGCCGGACATATTGTCATCCCGAAGTAGTTTACGACGGTCCTAGCATGTCTTCATAGCGAAAAGTAACCAGCCCAGTTGTAAATAGTACATACTTTCAACAAACCCACATATTCGACGACTTGATTTGTTTACGATTTATAAAGCAAATTTATCGACACACACAAGTATGTACTACTGATTAACAACAAATTCCAGCTTCTTCATTCCTAAGAGGCAAGAAAAAAAGAATCCTGATGATACCACCTTTGGCTTTGATTGATCATTTGTATCGGCCTCTATCTTTATATATATAAAATGTATTTACTCCAGTCCAGTGATATTGTCTTATAAATATATTTTGTTTTATGTGTGGAGGTCTTTGAGTTTATCGGTCCCATATTTATGAAATTTGTCATTAAAAGCTATAACGTATCTCTATTGGACGTGGAACATCTCGACGGAGTTAAAATTTGCCTTCTCTCCAAATGACAAATGAGTCATACTCTCTAGAGACCAGTAGAGGCGGCCTCAGGCCTAGATACCAGTAGCTCTACATAATAATTATAAATAAAACTATTGATTAAAGTATGCTTTACTATTTTTCCGGCTTTGTAAGTTTTTCGGACTTTTTCATGTGAATTTCGAATACACGACAGAAATCAGCGTACAAAAAAAAGTAAACAAACAAGCGTGAATAAGTCTCGTTTCTGAAGCTTAGGTATATATGCTGAGTGACGGTGTCCGTGACAGTCACACGTCAGGGTTGAAGAACAGCGTCTCACCTCTACCTCTGTTTGAATGGAAATATCGGTTACCCACCCAGACTTATTTGATAACAGAAGGACTTCAAGCATACTTCGGATTATACTTCGAAGAATACATTGAATTTCCATATAATCAGAAAACAAGAGAGCCGTTACACCATGAGATATCATACACAAGCTCTTCTAATGATCGTCATGGTTTTTGCCATTGATCGTTCATCAGCGGCACCGCTTGCCTTACAGAATGAAGCGCTGCCATATGGCGACGATGTAATGACTATAAACATGGAGATGATAAGTCCAGATGCTGAAATAAGTGAAGTATACGACCAAGAATTTGAGATCGAACTCGATCTGAATATCAACGCAAACGGGTTTATGATGTATGATTTCTAAGCTATACGAGCCAGGAAGGAAGTGCGAGGGTTTGAGCGGCATGGGATCTCCGTTCAGTATCTACTCTTAACTATCAACGTACATGGCATGTGAGAAGGCGTCATTAGCTCTAATCAGGACAAAAGTACCTTCAATATGGTGCACGTTGAACTTGGAGCGTGTATACCTATTGCAGTTCTCTTCTCTGGCTTTGATCTTTGAACATCATTGGTGATAAGGCGCCTCCGCCTGTACGCTTACTGTGTTGGCAACATGCGGTGGAATTGAGTGGAAAGTGCGTAAAATATGCACTAGTAAGCTGTGGATGTTGATATCGATACGACTCCCAGTCAGATTTGGTAAATATAGGGTAGATCGCTTTAACGCGTGTCTAAGGGGATGAATTTAGTAGTGTACATAAAATAAATGCCTATTGTTTCACAATATTCCTTGAATATGTTTTTATGTACATGTAATTCAGCTGTGCACACTATTCAGTGAGCATCGATTGATTCCTGTTTTCACATATAGAATTGAACAACTTCATGTGCAGACTGCATCGCAAGGAGTGTAACGAATGTTCTATTCATCGCGCAATATTAAAGTGAGTATTTGGCTGGGCTTGAAGCTGAAGTCAGCGTTCCTAATTTGCGACGACTAGTAAATTAAATATGTTGTCCATCCGTCACTTTGAGAGCTTGTATTCTATCAACAACACGTTATTTAGGCTTCTTAATTCGCTACTTAGGCTGCACACAACATTTTAACATAACGATTGTATACTAGCATGTACTAACTACATGACTATAGTTGATCACAATTGGATAGCAGCTAAACTTCTAAAATGCCGACAATGCTGATCTGATCAAAATTTTGCATTATACCCTGAGGCTACCAAAAAGGCGCCGTGGAAATTACAAATGCAATATGGAACTTTTCATGATTAACGATGCATGCCTTTCATCTGTTTCAAGCGTTCGTCTGGATTATAGTATATGGGTCTTCGTCACCGAATATCATATCTCGTATCTGGAGACATTGTCAGACACATATTAATCAACGGTTCGAAAAGGGTTCCGCTCAATTATAGGCACCAACTGCCAGTTGTCAACACTCATCTACTTTTAGGGTCTAGGGTTTAATGTTTTATTTCATACCATAGCCTCCTAATGTTCTTTTTTAGGAGGCTATGTTCATACATAGCATACTTAATATTTATATATATATATATATATATATATATATATATATATATATATATATATATAACTATTAATTATATTATATATATATAGTATATATATAAGTAATATATATATAACTATAATATATATATATTATATATATATATATATATATATATAGATAACGTACAATTATAATTTCACATACATATATGTATAGATAGATAGATAGATGGATAGATTGATAGATAGATAGATATGTAAATATATATCTACATATATATTTGTATATCATTAAACAAATATATATATAAATAAAAATACATTAAACAAATATATATATATATATATATGAATATATAGAAATATATATATATAACATACATATAAATATATAAACATATAGATGTATATAAATATATATATAGATCTGGATTTGAAAATATATATATATTCTCAATGGTTCATGCTTGCTAGCGATGTAGCATTCACTTAACAGATATTATCACAGGTCTGTCACCAGACATATACTAAGGATACATTATGTTCATTATATCTATCAAGCCAGTAAATTCGGAATATTTACGTTATATACGCAGAATATAAGACATGCATATCTAGTATCATTATGAATTTACACGCCATGAACATATTCACGATTCCACACAATACACCAAACGAATTCAACGTACACTTCTACATATACATAACCTCTACAGAGTTAACAAATGAAGCCAGCTTCCAGAACAGGCAAACAGTATCGAATCAACATTTTAAAGTCTTAAATGTAGGAGAAGGCTAGATTGCCAGATAAACTTTAATCGCAACGCACAGACTATGGTGTGCATTCAAGTTACACACAGGTTGACAATTCCAGACAATCGCATCCAGGTATCTTAAGCATCGAGACTCTCGAAGCAAAACCTTGATACTCAGGTGGGTGTCGACAACTTTCCTAACCAAGGCAGCAATGTTGCCTCATCTGACGAACTAAGAATTCATTTTGACGACCAACACGCGAGTCACTTATTTCGATCTCATGCGCATTTTACGTCTCTTCTTCTGCAATCTGCGGATTAGAATTCAACGGTGGTGTATATGAGATATCTATTGAGCTTTGTTGGTTTAAAAGGAGAACAAAGAAACCAGATCAAACACAGATGCAGTAGACTCGGCACCAGAAACATCGGAACCAGATTTGAAGAAACAAACTTACCTGCGCACACGTTTCTTCTTCCACTTCCACTGTTGATTGCGGAGCAGACCGGATTCATGATACGGAAACAATATGTATACGTAAGTTACTATGGAAATCCCATAAATTACTATCATCGTACATTCAGACCGAGCGTTCACACGAATGTCTTAATAAATCGTGTTTCTAATTATATTAAGGTTGAAGACACTTGTAGATTCTATATCCCTGTGAGATGGCTGTTTGTTTTGAAATTAGATCACGTCAAGCAGACGGTCGAATGCGACATCAAGCATGCGATCGAATGCGACATCAACAGATCTGACGACTATGCATGCAACCAATACGACATCCAACATATCATGCAAATTTAACAGTAACAGTTCATAAACACGGCAAAAAGCATATACATGCCAACATAGTCCGCTTTCTATTGTATTACAGTATTTACATCGTCGTATAATATATTATCATGTATGACATTCTTGATGCTACAATATGTTTTTGTTCCACACTCGCTACATAAACTGAATAACAACTATATACCACTAACATCCTCTCCTATCACTAAACATTCGAACTTACGCGCATCTTGGCGTGAGCCTTCTTCCAGGGGTTTGACTTATGAGACATCTTGGAGGATGTCTACCTAAGGAGAGGCCTAGTCAAATGGTGGTGTTGCTGTATATATAGACCTTCCGTGTAGCAAATTACGCTCATCATGAAAATACATTACACACTACCCACTGTTCACTAATTACCAACACTCGTGGCCACAAATTTCTGAAACTCACTACACCCCCGTCCCTGCTTAATTGTCCTATATGTCCATCGTATGTCCCATTTTTTTTAATGAAATAAATGCATATTTGAATGGGTGTTCTCGTGGGCCGTATTTCGTAGGCCAATGTGACCATTCGGGTCGTGGCCCCTGGTGCCCTGTGGCCTGTGGCCTGTGGGCCTGCGCGGGCCTGCTTTGCAGACAACAATGAGCCAGTGAGCAAAGAGCACGCAGACTGCAGACTGCAGTCCAGCTGTACATATTCTCCCTTGGCGGGATTTCTATTTATATATATAAATATAATATTTTGTTGAATTCTGGAGGCTAAATATGTATTCTTTTTATGGATGTTTTTATTACCCAACAACAATTTTGACGCGCAATGCACTCTGCAGATTCAGAACTGCACACTGTAGATAGTGATTGGAGATTGTAGCGTGTAGAGCTGTAGACTGTAAAGACACAGGCACGCAGGCACGCAGGCACGCAGCCTTCTAAGGAAATCGAACAGCGCTATCGTCGGTTATAATAGTGAACCAGGGAGACAGATAGCATCAATTTTGTAATTAAAAATGTAGCGCACAGGATTCTCGTTTCTTTCTAGCCTCAGATTATATAATATGGCTGAACAGCCATATTGCTGTGTATTTTTCCGCCACGCAAATCATCCCAAGGATGAGTTTGACAACAATAATTTATGAGTATGACCAGTTTGCAGTTGTAGTTTGCAGTTGTATCACTATTTCGATTAGCACATAAGAATGTATAAATAGAACGGGTAGTACAAGCTTGAATTTTTATATGTGAATCATCTGAATAAGCAACTCTACATACGAATAATTTCTACCCCAGCAGCGAATGCAGGGGTATAGTTGACCATTCATTAATTCTCACTAAGTTCCTTATGATACACTCGTACTGATGCTTGACTAGTGACTATATATATAATGATAACATATACACGAGTATATATATATTTATATATATAATGATTACATATACACGAGTATATATATATATATAGTGAGTGCATATACACACATATATATATATATATATATATATATTATATATATATATATATATTTATATATATAAATATATATATACTATAGTACAATATAGTTATGTATATATGTATGTGTGTAAATACATATATGCATATGAGGTATGTGTATTTATATCAATTATACATATCTATATTTATGCCTGTACATATATAGTATATATATGTATATATATATATGATAAAATATAGCTATAAATATATGTATACTACATATATATATATATGTGTGTGTGTGTGTGTGTGTATTCGTACATGCATATGTATACATGTGTATCTATGTGTATCTATGGTAATTTTACATACCTATATTTATACATGTATATATATATATATATTGTATATATATAAATAATGTATATATATATATATATTGTATATATATAAATATATATATATATA